TTCATGAACCCGCACTTCTTGCTTGATTTTCCGAGGCTCTTCTCACGAGGGTGTACGTTACGCGTGTTTACGATAAACGTTTGTTTAGTAGATTTATTTAAACCTTATGACGCGAGAGATCCGCAGATTTCCATGAATATAGAAGCTCGCTTCCGCTTCATCCACCGGGAGCCGTAAAATGTTTATCACCTGGCGTTTCCCACACCCCGACCGATACTGGTTAACGATTCAACGCTCTACTCTGGATACGAAAAATCCATCGATAATCCTTTGTTCGTCTCGTTAATACTGATAACGGGTCTGTTAAGGATATCGATCCATGTACGACAGTTATTTCGAATTTTTTAATAATCTTTTTCTCAGACACGCAATAGATGTAAGAAGATGAAATGAGGAGGGAGTGAACGACATTGTAATTAATGCCAATTGATATGACGTAACCGGAAAATTTTCATCTCTACGTTTAAGTCCTTTCGTTTCGCTCATCCCGTATGTTTGACCGATTACACCTCTTTACGACGCGTGCCGGATGATTTGAAAGTCTCTCTTTCTCTCTCTGCAGGAGGCAGATCTCGGGCTACTCACGGTTCACGGCCTGCGCTTTATTAAACGCGGGCTCGAGACGACGTCATCTGGCACAACCGTAAAGCAAACTTATCGCGCGTCCTCTCGGCACCTCGGCGACCCGTATTACGAGGTCGGACAGGAATTAGATTCAAAATTTGAGGAAACTGCGGAAAGCCCTGGGCGAGTTTGCGCGAAGTGCGTTCGGCTTTGTCTTGGGAAACGCGAAAGAGGCGTCTTCGCACCTCCACCGGAAACACATATAAATCGTGGCCCGATTAATCTTTCTCCGACTAACGCGACTGCACATTCTACAGGATAACTCGGAGATACCGCTATATTTTTCTTCGCCGGATTCCTTCGCTGAGCATATTCTCTCCTAATGAATATTCTTTTTGTGTAACTTTTATTCTTTTATTTTACATACTAAGACATTTCTATGTATCCCGAGCTTAAATATAAACCTTATATCTATCTGTCTACATAATGTTAAGAAAATAGGACATATTTTTCGATCAAGATTCCGCTAAAATGGAAAAAGTTGCATTTTTTGATGGAACTACTTACTGTCGATCTTTTGTTGAAGAAAACGGAAGGTGGAAATTTTTCTCGCTATATTTTCTGTAAGCCGAATGATGTTTGCACAGTATGCGACGCGTTTATTACCCAAGAGTAGGGGAGACACAGCGCAAATTTTCCATTCTTAAATTAGGTCGCGCATTCTGTGACTAACGCACGGCCGACGACGACGACGTTTCTCATGAATTGCAAATTCCTGTTGTTTTTCTCATCTTTATGGCTTCACCATCTCTTCCTCCCTCGCTCCACCGCCTACTTTAGTCAGTTTGCATTGCGTTCGTTTTGTTTTGTCAGGAAATAAAACGTACGTCTCCACTGACAATTTCTCGGATGGCTCCGCGATGTAATCGAATGATTTGCATATACCATTACGCATGCAACATATCAGTAAAAAAGTCGTTTTAAACAGAAAACCGCCTTTCTATTAATAATACATTATTTTTTTCTAGTTTAAGTTAATAGTTAATAATTAAATTAATTCTTACGTACATCTTATGGAAAGAATTCTAGGTGCAATATAAGGGCATTATTTAATCAAAGTTAGTAACGTTAGTTAGTGACACTATGTTTACCGTAATTATTTCTCGATATATTAGTTTTTTGAAAGAAAGAAGTTAATTACAGTTCAAAATATATTAATTATTTGCAAACATTGTAACTTAAAAATTCATGTAATTAATATGGCTGTGTTAGCCACATTAATCACATGTAACAATTAATGTGGCTGTGTTAGCCATTAATCACATATTTTATCACCAATCTTAGACATCACGTTCTAGTTTCTCTTCCTCGTATCTTACGAAACCCGCGCGCCTCAAGATCTAAATAAATTATATCTATTTATCTCAGGTCGTCTTTAGGGAATCTATATGGCGGGAGGAAATTCATCCATCTACGGCGCCTATCCATCTATCCACCAATTTATCAACCTACCGCGCTTTTTGCAGCAGTCGTTAATTTAAGTCACGGAGATCGAACGGCAAATCTAACGGCCGTTGATTTACGGAGAGCATGCTTTTTTGGCGCGGTAATGGATCCGGCCGTAATTCGAAGCGACATGTACTCGGATTTAATCGGACAGATTTCTTCAAAAGTCTGAAAAGCACGAACGACATTCGCGATGGAGCGAACGGTGCAGCTTGATGCAGATATTCTGGCGGAATTCGCTCCCCTCTTTGATGTCCGCCACGTTTCGCAGTTTCGTCCTGATGTTTCGCGAGAGAGCTCGGATTTAATTGACCCACCTCGGAATTAAGCTCCGCTGTGTTTCACGAATGCACTTCGTTCATTCGTAGTAAAAGGCAGTTACATCCAATTTCGAAGCAGCATAAATGTTAGTTTCTTTCTTATGAAAAACGATGTACAGTGCAGATAGCGCAAACACGAAGCTCGTTTAATCTTCAGGATTCATGGCTGACGATTTTCCTCTTCTGTTTATCTGCTGTTTGTTATACTTTTGTGCTCAAGATAAGACAAATGTGTTAGCGCTTTGGAGACAGCAATAAGAACATGTAGTTAAGAAGACTAAATCCATTTGCATATATACATATATCTAATACAGTTATCTCTAATCCATTCCTTTTTCTTGTTTCAGATCTTTATAGTGCTCATCGCCAAACGGCAGATAATACAAAATAATACTCGTTGCCAAATTTACGCCACGTGACAACCATCGTCGCCACCGCTTCAAATTTGTTCCTCTTGTAAAAGCATACGTTAACGAAGCCGCACGACGCATAACTATTCATTACACAATAATTCACAGTTAAAAATTACCAGATTTCTAATGAGATCTCCGTTATAAGAATTTCTTGAAGTTGGAAACAAAGTACAGAATTACTTTCCGAGGAGGCGAGGAGTTGGCGACAGAGGGGCACAATGAAGAGACTTGTCTTCAGCGAAGCGAAGTGATCCTCGAAGAAACGAGGAAGCGAGGAAGAATTCGAAGTATTCGATCAGACGAATCGGGCCGGCGACGGGCCCGATCGGTGTGATGGTCTCAGGGTGGTGCCCGTGCGTGCCACTGGGGCGTCGGCAATCGCCGGCCCAGCAGCAACAGCAACAACAACCGCAATCATCATCTAGGGCGCCGTTCACCGTCAGCGGCGCGACCGATCGCGCGGACATGGTGCAGATGTTTTACTATGAGAACCATGGCAAGTGTTGCAAGAAGCTGCTCAGATACAACGGATACCCGAATAAGGTTAGACAATTTGCCATCGCAGTCTCATTTCGCAATACCAGAAAATTCAATTCGCTCAGCTACGCTTCATTATGGCCATTTAAAGATTTGACGTTGAACATGTTTGAGAGAAAATTCGTAAATCTCAGTAAACTAAAAATGTACTATTAAAAGATAAAAAAAATTTTTTTATATTTAATTTTTTATTTAACTTTACTTGAATTAAAAATTTTCTAATATGTAATTTAGATGTTATATATTTGTTTAACGATAATTAGTTTGATATAACAACTGGTAATGTTTTGTATCGTTTAGTTTTATGAAGTTTAGTGCGTCTAAAAAATTAAGATTTGAAAATGAACATCACGAAATTTTTTTGCGATTATTGGGTGAATAGTCGCGTGTTCATTGAAGACACGTCAAAGTGAATCTTAAGGCGCTTCGTCTCTTTTCGAGGAGAGCATTAATTATTTGACGAGCATCTTGATGAGCTTTCTCTAGAAAGGCACTTAAACTATTCTCCCGAGTAGTTTCTCGCGAAGACTTAATGTGCTCGTCCTAGTAACCTATTCATATTGCTGTATATGTATATGGGCGAAACTAAAAGTTAAGAAGTTAAGAAATTAAGATAAGTTTAGTTATATATCAAGTTTTATTCTTCTCCATCGAACGCTAGTCTCGAGAGAATGCAATTGACTTACATCCACAAAAATCGATAAACTATCTCCTTCCAATTTTTATCTTATTCCTTCCTTAATCGTTCTTTATAAATATTGCGATATCTCCAATATATATATTTTAATGATACTTAGTTTTTGTTTTGTTCTTTTAAGTTTTAAGCTTTTTCGTAATTTTTAAGTTAAATAAAATTAAGCAGTAAGAAAAAATATTAATCTATGTGCAAAAATATACGATTTGAATTCATGATATTATTTTTTACGAAAACTATTTTGTATATCGTATATTATGTGCATGTAAGGAGAACAACTTTCATGAAAATGTGATACTATTCATTCAGTCGCTTGGTCTTTCCATTAACGGTTATCGACTTTTCCGTCCGCTTTTCTTAATTGGATGTGATTTTAATCACATTTGTAGAGAAGCAATCGTCCTGATAGCATTATATTGGAATCTCTTCGATAATTGACCTAACTAGGTATAAATCTACCCACATATCCATTTATCTATCTAATGAAACTAACTCTCCATCCATCTATCCATTTATCCGTATAATTAAACCGTCTATCTGTCACTCGATTACATCGAATTTCCTGACTAAGAAGATGCTTTTAAAGCGTTCGATTGTTACATCAAAACTGAATTTTCCGGTAAATTAACACATAATATTAATTGTTAACTATAACTTACGTCATTGTTATTAGCATAATTAGATTTAAATAACAATAAAATATGATTATTATTCATTTATAAAATATATTGGATCATAATTTATAAAATAATTTTAAATAGAAAAAACATGCGTTTTTAATTTATGAAAGAAATTATTACATATTTCAATGTATAAATAAATTCTCAATTTGTGTTGGGCTGGGAGCATAAATTGCAATTTATCTCAAGTGCTTCTCTTAACGGTCGATTTAGAAGATTTAGACAAAATGTGGCGATAAAAGTTTTGCGAAACGAATGTGACCCAATGAACATTTCACGCTCTATGGCAAGTCCAGGGTCTCGGGACCCCAAAGTGCACCGCGAAAGCGAGATAGAGGAATGAGAGAAAGAGAGAAAAGGAGAAAAGGAGAGAAGAGAGAGAGAGAGAGACTATTCCAAGTTCACAGCAGAGATGGGCGAAGTTTTCGAAAGCTCCCGAGGAAATAAATCGATTCGATATCTGAATAGCCATTATGCGGACGTGGCTTCGCGGAATAAAGAAAGCATAGCAAAGTGGTCGACGAGAGGGAAAGGAGGAGAGGCGAGTCTCCGCGGAGAAGAAGTGGAGGAAGGGCCTTATCCGAGAACTAGGCTAATGCTGCGAGTTGGAAAACTCTCGTATCGGCCGGAATTTACTTTCAATAACCGAATTATTATTCATCGCGGTCATTTATTACTCGACTCGAAGTCGACGCTCTTTCCATTTTCCTACGTCTTCGTGTCATTTTTCCGCGAATTCTACACGCAAAGAATTCCCTTTCTTCGAACAATGTGGATAAATCGCGTTTCTTTTGCCGCTCCGGGGAGGAAAATAATGCCAGGCAGTCTAAAAGACGGAATTTCGGTGCAGCTATCTGTCGATCGTCGGGTTACGAGAAACGAGTCGCGATGCTTATCTCTCGTCGGAAATTTCAATTGTCTGATAACGGGAAGCGCGGCGCGCGGCGCCAGCTCTTCGCGTGGCTTCTCGGACGGATTTTCTATTTTCTTGCTCGCTCGTTTTCCTCGAAATATGCTTTCTCTTCCCGGTATATCTTACGCATCAATCTTAGACATTACGCGAACGCTCGGATACGGAGAATCTAAGAGTTATCCCAGATCCAGAAATATGAGCGCGGTAAGTTCCCATTTCGTGAAGATATTCTTCTCAAATTCCGAATGCCATTCTTGCAATTCCGAAGATGAAGTATAAGTGGATTCCTGAGATATCGCCTTGTAGTTACGTTTTACAGCGTTTACGTACAATCGTTCTCGACGATAGGAGATTCGGTTTGTTATATCGTTAATTTAGCACTTTTTAAAAGATTTAATAATTTTAATCACACGCGATTTACCTAGTTGTTTATGGAATATTTGATTACGAGAATTACATCAGCGAAATAACACAGATTTTTTTTTTTAAGTGTTACTTCGATCCACGACAATACTATCTTATATCTCAGCAATTGATTCATTAAAACTTCCTCATCGCTAATCTCACCCGTCACGCTATGAGAGCGTAAAAACAATGTAATTTTAACAATAATCGTTGGACTAATAATATGTAATTATAGATCATAGATACCCACATTGTGGATTTTTTCTCGTTAATATGTCATTGACGATAATGCCGCAGTTATTTTTACGCGCCCTTCGATACTTCAGCGCGAACTAAATGGTAAACGTAGAAGATACCTGTGATCAGAGAAAAGAAAATGTTAGGGTCAATTGATAATAATTTTATAAGAATAAAATTTCTTAGAAAGTTGCTAAATAAGAGCAGATTATAAAAGCTGCCTGTGAAATAATTGTTTTCTTTTGAAATTGTAATTAAACTGGAAGCAATATTACATATCTTATAAAATGTTAAATAGTTACATAAAAGTGTAAAGGCTATATATATATATACATATACTTAAATATGTCTTTGATGGTTGGTGTAAAATTTTATCTTTATATATTTTTAGATTGCTTTTTATGTACCTTTATATACCTTTACATATTTTAATACTTTTATTTTTTAGAGTTAATAACATTCTTTCTCGAAGCAGTAAGATAGCTACATTACTTTTAATATCTTTTCAAATATTTTTCCAAAAAATAAAAAAAAAAATTCAGTTTTAACAGCTCTGTAATGTCAGCGTAACTCAAACCCGCAAAAACCTTGAAGAACCTATGAAAACGTCTGATCGAAGGGAGAAATGATTCGCGAAGAAAGAAAGTGGCACGCAGGGATGCGCCGCTGATTTTAATCCATCACGCTCGACGTGTTGGTGATTAACGAGCGTGTCGCACTGGTTCTCTGGGGTTTGCGACTTAACGCGCGCTGACACGTGTTTCGTTAGCGGCGATGGTTACGGCATCGACTTCACCGAGAAGGTATCCTCGTGACGTCTATCGCGCTCTGATTAATCGCCTCAACTCACCCGCTTCGCGGATGATCAATGTACATTTCGCGGGCAATGGGCGAAAGTACAATTGGTACTCTCTCGCATTGTCTGACATTCGAACAACGGTAATTAACGACTGTTCGCGGACAGTCGTGTTCTCCGTGATTGTCATTTCCCTCGAGAAAGCTCCTTAACTTCTGATTTATGTAATAATCTGATTTTACACATCTATTATGTGTATATAAAATAGAATGTCTGTCTGTATGTTCTCTCTATTAACTTCTAAATCCTTTGACCAATCTGGACCATATTTTGCACAATTACTCTCTAGATCCCTGCGGAAAATGCGGGCTATTATGAAACCTGGACTCCCTCCCTCTGATTTAAATCCCATTGACACCTTGTGATAATCCCGGATTCCGGTCAACGTTGGGTAGTTGAAATTAGTATTTTATAAAGCAGAGAAAAGAAGAGAAAAAGCGGAGAGAGAGAAAGAGAGAGAGAGAGAGAGAGAGAGAGAGAGAGAGAGAGAGAGAGAGAGAGAGAGAGAATAAAGATAGTAAATTTCAAAAAGATTATTATAATAAATTCGTAAAATATTCGGATTTTTAAATATAATTATTAATTCATATTTAGAATATTAATCGTGGATTCTTTCAAAATTTATTTTAAAGACTCGAGTCTTTATCGATTGATAATGTTAATACGATAAAAATATAGTACACGTTAATTATTCGTGTATAGAACGAAGGAAGAATTATGAGTTATAATATATACGTACTTGTGTATTTTTCCTTGATTCTCTTGTATAGAAAAATAATTCTTCATGCGTACCCGGGAAAAACGAGGTCGCTTAGCTTATAACCCGACTGCGCGTTATCTATTTGTTCCTGTTAAAAGTTAATTAGCGAACCCGGCGAAATTGCCCGGAGAGATCTGACGGGAAAAACAGCGAGGGATCCAGGAAAATATATCTTTCCGCGAGAAATCTCTCCACTGCACGAGATTGAATGAATCGTTATTAAAAGCGCGCTCGTGCGCTTATGGAATTATTCGTAAATACGAGCGATATACCGACTGGGACGGGATAAAGACCTAAATATATTGTATGACGTCGCTATTAAAGGCGCTTTTCGCGGCGAATAAAATTATCCGCGAGTGCACATTCTTTTCGCGAGGCGCGCGTGCACCACGCAAGTATCGGTGGGGCACTTTGTCACGAAATGCACGATACGGTTGCAGTCATGCATGTGCACTCGGAAG